AGAGGACACTTTCTAAAGGCCTGGACCGTCTTTTCATTATTTATTTATTTATTTTAGCTATTTGCCTTTTTATCAATTTTTATTTAAACAAGTGTGCAGATCTGCTTTGGAAAATTTGTTGTTATTATGCATGATGGATGACCAAGAAGCGGAAGTCTACAGGATATCATAATTATAAAGCAAATTTCTTCATTTTTTAACCATAATGGAAATGAATCATCTGCCTCTTCCAGTAGTGTGCATTCGTTATGATTAGATTAACCACTCAAACAAATAATCAAAAGTTGGTTGAGAAAATTTTCCATATCTTCTAAATACACTTATAACCAACAGTATCATCGTAGAGGTCAGAGAATAATGACCCTTGTCCTTACTAGCTAACAGCCTATTTCCTTAGTTTTCTTTCGCCGAATCCTTAGTCTATACTCACCACACACACAAAACGACCCTTTGAAAATGTATAATTCCTTGTGCTTCATACAAATGTAAGACTTTTTCCTTCCCAACCTCTTATACCATGGACGACTCGAGAGAAACTTGTGAGAGTGTGAGAGGGAGAAGGACTTGCATGCTGATGACGTAACACTAATTTGGTGGTGACCCTGAATGAACAACTATATTTTTTCCTGTTTTGAGTGACTCTCTCATCTATTTTTTTTATATTTTTTGGAGTGACACTCTCATCTATTTTTATTTATTTTTTATTCTTCTTAAGGTCAGATGGATGATGAAACTAAATCAATGATTTTTGCAAGTCAGCTTGTTTATATGCTAATTACGTGTCTTAATACGTCTAAGGTTAATGCTGTGGAAATTAATTTACATATCGCAAAGCTTTGATTTAGACGAAACGCATGCAAGGTTGCCAAGCTGATGGGAGCGTCACGTGATCATAGTTTAATGTTTTAATACTTGCAACAGAATGAAACTTTATAATGTCCATATAACTCGAATAGTTTGTCACTTTACATTCCTCACTTGCTTCCAACGAAGGCCAATGTCATTTAATTGATGTGGAGACTTGCCCGTTCTTTGTGCACTAGATTACACTAGATTACTTGACCCTAAAACACTCTGTTGGGAATGAAACGAGATGTTCGTCTGAACCACTTATTGCAGGTTCACTGTCTTTTCTCCGTTCAATCTCAGAATAAAAAACTGGCAGCACACCTTCGACTATGGGAGTTCTTCGATTAGCTAAGTCTCTTGTGAGAAAAAAAGTGACGGTGATTACAACAAAACTAAAAAAAAAAGTCATGCTTTAAAATACTAAACAAAAGAAAAGGCAAGTATTGGCTATCAACTTACTAGAATTAAAAGGAAATGTAGAATCAGTTACCGATGCTAGTGATACTCTTCTGTGAATCGGTTTCTCAGCCTGATCATACCTGCCCTGTTTTTTTCTTCTTCTTTATAAAATAACATTTTTTTTTTTAGTTAATATTTCAGCATGCCACTAATCATAATAAAAATACATGTTTGCAATTCCTAACCAACAACTGTTATTCCCGAAGACTTCTAACAAGTACATCCATCATTACAAAAAAATAACAACGTAACAGAAAAACAGAAAAAATCTGGCCATCATCAACAATTCTTACATTAGGAAACACGAAATATGACGAATTAAGATTTGTAATTTAGAAAAAGAAAGAAAAATCTGCATTTGGAAAATTTATCCTCAAACACACATAACATATTATAATTTTCTTTTGTTTTTCATTGAGAATCAGTGAAATGAAAAAAAAATAATAATAAAAAAATAAATAAAAGAAAAAAAAAACGCATATAATCGAACACCAAAAAGATACACCCTTTCCCCCCTCACCCCCACTCCCTACCCCACCCCCTCGGGCTTACATACATACTTACACTTTACTCAACTACCATTCTAACTTACCCACAATGAAATCGTAGTAAGTCTCCAGTCTGTGGGAGGAATCGTACGTGTGGTTGCCCGCGTTCTTGATCACGGACACGAGCAGCAGCCGGAGGAGAGCCACGGGCAGCATCCATCTCATGCGGTACGAGAAGGTCATGGTGGCAGGTCTTGAGTTCCTTCTTTTCCTTCACTTCCTTGTTTTCCTTCACTTCCTTTCGCTTCCTTCTTCTTTTCCTTCTTTTTCTTCACTTCCTTCTTTTCTTCGCTTGATTTCGTTCACTTCTTTCACTTGGTTTTCCTACTTTGCTTCGCTTGATTTCGTTCACTTTTTTCACTTCCTTTCGCTTCTGTGGCTTCTGGCTTCTTTCAGTTCTTTCAGTTGCTTTTTACTACTTTTCTTCGCTTGATTTCATTCACTTCCTTCGTTCCCTTTTAGTTCACTTCTTTCACTTTCTTTTTCCTTCTTCCTTCCGCTTCACTTTTTTTCACTTTTCTTCGTTCCCTTTCAGTTCACTTATTTCACTTCCTTTTCATTTCACTTCTTTCACTTCCTGGGTTTTCTTCGTCTTCTACTTCCCTTTTTGTCTTCACTTCCTTCACACTTTTTTCATTTGTTTTCTGTTGATAAAGAAAAAAGAAATCATGTTTCATTATGGATGAAAAAAGAGATAATGAAAAGGAAAAAAAAGTTACTATAGAGTTGTGTAAAAATGCTAAAAATATGCGATGTTTGTGACATATGAAATACTAAAGCAAATTAGGTGAATTTATTTTGTAAATTCAAATAGCACTTGAATCCATCCGAACCGTTTTTTTAAATTGAATACAACAATGTTATGATAGATAAAGCAATAAAACATGAAAAAAAACACATAAACAGACAGACAAATAAGTAAAAAACAAGGTTAAACAAAAAACACATAGTTCTATCCTCAATCCTTTAAAAAAGAAAAAAAAAGAAAAGAGAATTATCAGTTGCGTGGTTTCGGAAGCTATAAAAAAGAGCATTGGATTATATTATAGAGGATCCGGTGACCTTCGCGCCTCATCCGGGAATCCTATCGCGCCCAGGATGTCCGAGAAAGGATTGTGAGAGAAAGTGTGGGAGGAGGGGGGTGGGGGTGGGGGGAGATGGGCGGAGGAGGAGGAGGAGGAGGAGGAGAGGGGGAGGGTGGTGGTGGGAAAGTGGTGGGGAAGATAATATGATGAAGAGGCGGAGAGAGGAAAGGGGTGAAAGGATGGGTGTGGAGGAGGAGGGAGGGGGGAGGGAGGAGGAGGGGAGAGGAATAGAAGAGAGGAAATAAGATGATGAAATGGAGGATGGAAGGAGGTGGGGGAGAGGTAGGATGATAAACAGGAGGGTGTGGGAGGGGTGACGAGGGGAGGAGGAGGGGGGGGGAAGAGAACAGATGGAGACTGGAAGGTGAGATTAATTATATGAAGAAGAGACGAGCGGGAGAGGATAAGAGAAAAAGAAAAGAAGGGGGGGGGAGGGGGAGGAAGGAAGGGTGAGGGGGAGAGAGGAGATGAGTAGAGGAAGGGGTACAGGAGGGGGGGAGGTGGGGAGGGGGATGGAGGGGCATAGGCTGGTAAGATAAGAAGGGGATACTGAAGACTGCGAAAAAGGGAAAGTTTTAATAGGCCTATAACATGTTCTCTCCTTTACTACTAAAAAAAAACCGGTTTCATCATAATTTTTTTCTGTATTGTAACGTTACCGCAGAATGTGGCGTATTTCATTCATAATCCTATACTAGGACAGCTTTTTACCATTCAGTATTTTTGCCTCTTTGTCCTTTTTTCCCCTTAGGCAAAATATATACTATATTGCATTTAATTAAACTGATAAGTCGAGCATATCTTTACAAATATAAAAATTTTCTCTAATAACAACCATATGCTTTCTGAATAATAACTCTTCTAACACGTACTGACCGCTTTCGCCTGGAATAGAAATCTAAACGTTTACATCGCCTACGACCAGCATTCAGGATGTTTAACAGAGACACACTTTATAAGACGCGTAAGAGGAAATAACATCATCCGTGAACAGCCTAATTGTGACCTTCAGCCGTTGTTAGTGAAAGGATGTCGAGGAATGTCGGTTTTCTCGAGAAAAGTGGTCAGACTGAGTTCCCTCGTTGCGCGGTCTGCTCTCAACCCTTCGCTGTTTCCTTATGATATGTGGGAGATGTTGGAAAAGGAGGGAGACGGATTTTGCTTTCAATTCTTCGTTTCTTTTTATTCTTATTCTTTTCATTGCGTAATTTGGGTTTCGTGTGATATTTGGTGATATAATGTAGACAAGTAGGCGGTATGCTTTCTTGGTGAGAAGTGTGTACTTGTACTGTCTGTGGGTTGAGAGAGAGAGAGAGAGAGAGAGAGAGAGAGAGAGAGAGAGAGAGAGAGAGAGAGAGAGAGAGAGAGAGAGAGAGAGAGAGAGAGAGAGAGAGAGAGACAGACAGAAAGAGAGAGAAACAAACAAACAGACAGACATAGAAAGAGACATAACGTGCTGAAGATAAGAGCCACATTCCAGAGCCAAGCCGCACTGCTCCAAAGTGTCCACAGAGCCTCGACATAGTTATGGAAGATACGTAGGGGCACCGGTTCTTGAAAAAAAAAAAAAAATCTTCATCACCGGCCAATATTCTTCTAAAGGTGCTTCCGGTTCCTGTGCTTCGAGACTTTCACGCTTTGGACGCAACCGAATGAAAGTGAGCCATGAACCACCTGTATGGCATTTCCGTTTTTCTTCCTTCGTCATTTTCTTCTTCCTTTTTTTCTTCTTCTTTTTCTTTTTCTTCTTCTCCCTTTTCTTCTTCTTTCTCATTCTTCATTTTCTTTTTTTCTACCTTTTTTCTTATTCATCTTCATCGTCTTCTTAATTTCCTTTTTTTTATTCTCCTTCTTCTTCTTCTTTCTTTTTTATACTCTAGTATTGTAATTGTAGTTGTTGTTACTTCATTGTTATTGCTGTTGTTAATATTATTCTTGTCTTGCTTTTCAATAAATCTACTATGTATATACTTTTTTCTGCAATACAATATTATATGTGGTGTTTTTATTACTACTACTATCTTTATTAACACTTCTTGGTATCAGTATCCTTATGACT